GGGGGGGGGGCGTTTCTGGGCTTTCTCTAAAGGACCGATTCCCTGCCACCTCTGCAGAGCCCCCACGCCGTGTTAACCCAAAGCTATCAAGCACCACAGCACATGTTGTTTCATGATGAAGAATTCCATTGCGAAACCTCTCGCTCACCCTCTCGAATGTGTCCCCCCGCCCCCCGCAGGATCGTGAGAATGCCCGCAAAATCCATGAATTGGCAGGACTGCCGTTCTTTGAAATCTTTGTGGATGCACCTCTAAACATCTGTGAAAGTAGAGACGTGAAAGGCCTCTACAGGCGAGCCCGAGCCGGGGAGATCAAAGGTAGGAGCGCCAGCCCCGCGGCCCCTTTGCCGGCAACCCTGTGCTCTCGAGCCTTCGTGCTCCGTCTCCAGAAACCTGTCTGAAGTCTCAAGAACTGTTTTCCACGGTTGCATCTAGCACGCTCAACTTTTTATCGAACCACAGTATATTCAGTATGTCCACGGGCCCATTAACACGGGGCCTGGTGTTTTGCGAGAACTGTCACCTCAGCCGGAAGCCGTCAAGTTCAGGTCCCTGAAATGAGTGTGTTATCCATGAGTGTGTGTCTAAGGGGAGGGTTCCAGAGTTTTTTCTTCTTCTCGTCTTCCTTTGGATTCTAGTCAGCTGCAGAGGGCTTGGTCCTAGCCACATTTTGTTGATAATTTGGGGGCTTTCTATGTTGAAAATAAAGCTAGGTAAATATATACAGATATATATTTACCTATGGCTAGAGGTCAGGGACAGCTGATGACCTTTTCTGGTCTAACCTGAATTCTCAGTGTAAGGCGTTATTCCAACACGGGTTAAACCCTACTGTTCAGCAGGCTTGTCCCATTGGTGCCGATGTGATTTTCGCCCTCCTGATTTGCAGGGTTCACGGGTATTGATTCTGATTATGAGAAACCCGAGACCCCCGAGTGTGTGCTGAAGACCAGCTTGTCCTCAGTGAGTGACTGTGTCCAGCAGGTGGTGGAGCTCCTGCAAGAGCAGGTGGGTGGACCGGGGCGCTTTTTTGTTTTTCTTAATTGCATAAAGTCACAATAGGTCATTTATTTACCAAAGCATTCTTGTTACAGTTTTCATTTCAAATTGCTACCAATTCTGCTTCCTTTCAGAACATTGTACCCCACACGATCATGAAAGGCATCCATGAGCTCTTCGTGCCAGAAAACAAACTTGACCAGGTCCAGGCTGAGGCCGAAGCTCTCCCTTCGTTAGAGATTACCAAGGTAGGACGGTGCGGGCTGGCCCCGGGAGAATTAGGCTTCATCGCCATTCGTTATAATCTGTTTACAATCACTCGGGATAATAAGGAAGGTATGGATAAGGGAAATGCAACGTCCCTAAAGAAAAACACTTCATTTTTGCTTTTTTTTTTTTTTTTTTAAAAAAACCTCTTGCCAAGCAAATCTCTCACCAAGAGCTGCCACAAGGTAGCTGGTCAGTGCCAGGGGCAGAGGCAGACTGGGCAGGTAACTTCTGTTTTGCAGAGGACAGCATCAAATAGTAGTCATTATATCTTCAGTTATGCCAAAGTGCAGGCATTGGGCAGTATCCATTTGTTGGTGGCTGCTGAGAAAAGTTTGTTCAGAATGCAAGTTTAAAAAAAAAAAAAAGAAGGGCGCCTGGGTGGCTCCGTTGGTTAAGCGACGGCCCTCGGCTCAGGTCATGATCCTGGAGTCCCGGGATCGAGTCCTGCATCGGGCTCCCCGCTCGGCGGGGAGTCTGCTTCTCCCTCTGACCCTCCCCCCATCTCATGTGCTTTCTCTCTCATTCTCTCTGTCTCTCAAATAAATAAAAAAAAATCTTTAAAAAAAAAAAAGAATTCAAGAGTTTTTTTGGACAATCAAGAAGGAATTTGGAGAAAACAAAGAGCCACCCTGATCTAAAGTGATAGGAATCTTTCCGTGCTCTGCAAATCCCATTCTTTCCTAAGGAGGCAGAGTCCAGCCTCAGGAGAAGGTGTAGACCCTTTGGTCCCACTGATTTTACTTCCTGGAATGCGTAGGCTGCAGTCCCACCAAGTGCACGGCAGATGCCTTTGGCGTTGTATGGGTATTATTGGTCCTTACCAGCTGATCAGATCTTCATTGGTAACTTTATCTTATCCCTTAAAAACCTTAAAACCAGAGTAAGTTGGGAACCTGTTGCAGCTCATTCATACCTCTTTGAAGAAGGCATGGCAAATAGATAAGCAGAAGCCCCTGACCCTACAGAAGAAATTCTGAGTACTCCAGTGCTCCAGGAGCATGAGAAGTACACAATTATAATTACAGTGTGGAATGATAGTTCCAATAACAAAATGGGCTGCAGGGAACAGAGGACCTTCAAATAATCTCAGCATTGTTTTGGTTGTAGGGATGGCAGGAAAGGTCAGCACAGCCGTGACCCATGCTTCGGGGTTTAAAGGATGAATAGGAACTTCAGGTGGGGAGGAGGTTGGGCCTGGGAGGAGGTAGAAATCTCTACATCAGCCCAAAGGGCCAGAGCTTGAAGGGCTTTCAGTATCATGCTAAGAATTGTAGACTTTTCGAGTCAATGATTTGCCAATTTCAGTCAACTACCTAGTACATTTGGTGAAAATATATAGCCCGCCCAGAATTTTTGGAGGGGGGGGGGAAGGAAAGCATGAACAGCAGATGTTAACATAGTTGTCCATCATGAGGCTCTCTGCACTTCAATTTTAGATCACCACTCTCGGGTAGGAAAGTTCTAGCTCAAGCTTATCTGGCCCCTTGATCGAGGGTCGGCATCAAAACGGAACACTTAACACATGAAAGGTTCTGCCTTCATTCCTCTGCCAGCTGAATGAGAAAGGTCTGCCCTGGGGCCAGATGGCTGGGAAAGAGAGCTTATGGAAATGTTCACCTGCTTTTGTGTTTTGCAGCTGGATCTTCAGTGGGTCCAAGTTTTGAGCGAAGGCTGGGCCACTCCCCTCAAGGGTTTCATGCGAGAGAAGGAATACTTGCAGGCCATACACTTTGATACCCTGCTGGACGGTACGTGCTTTTTTTTGTTTCTTACTCTTCATTGTTAAAGAAAAAAAATCGTGCTCAGAAATATTCACAGGAACAAGAAGTGTTCATTCCTGGTATTAATTCTTGGTTCATACCTCTCACTCTGGAGATACTTAGGTGATTTATGGTGTGTCTGATTCTATTATGTATAAATTCCATTTTTAGGATTTTTTTGGGGGGTGCGTTATCCTCAAAGGATTATTGACTATTTGAAAGTAAGGAACTGAAAATCGAAGGTTTTACTTGCACACAAAGCCAAGAGAAAGTTAAGTCTGTTTCGCTCTACTTGCCTGGATACTCAAGAGTAGAGGGCGATCGGGGGCCTGTTGGTTGCCAGCTGCTGGGACCATCATGGGGCAGCAGGGGTGAACTTAGAGCACGGGGCTGACTCGCAGGGGCCCTCTCACCCCCGGGGCCGCTGGGCCACTGGATGCTCTTCCTGCCCTTCCATGCGCTGGATCCTCCAAACCCTCCCGGGGCAGCGCTAAGTCCGCCCTCTGGGCACAGGCCAAATGACTTGAGAGAGCTGATCTGGTCCAGATCGGAAGCATGTGTTATTCAGAAAACTTCCGGCCCCTTCTGTGATCATTTCCTTCCCAGAACGGCCTGAGCTTGTCAAATGGAACTTGTCTGTTTCAAGCCCCTGAGGAATGGCTGCTAGTGGGGGGAGCCGGGTCGGGGAGGGGGTGGAGGGGGGGGTGGGGGAGACGACACACCGAGTCTGAGACACCGAGCAGGGCTTCAGACCTTTTAGGAAGAAAGATCAAGGCAGATAGTCTTTCTTGGGAAAAGATGTTCATGGCCCGGGCTTGTGACTCTGCCTAGGGGGATAAAATAACATTCCAAAATATAATTGGTTCCCTTATGGCTTGCCTTAGCAATAATAACCATACCTGTACAGCACTTGCCCATCTGCAGAGCATTTTCTCAGGCGTGATTTGCTTTGATCAGGCAGCTATGATCACCCCCCTTTACAGACGAGGAAGCTGATCCCAGCCTCAGTGCTTCTCTGGTCCAAGACCAGAGACCACAATCTCCTGCCTTCTGGCCCAATGCTTTCCCTACCGGGCTGCTCTCCTGGCGTCCGTTCGGATAGAAGTTAGAAGGTCAGGACATCTGTACAAGGAAGGCTGACACTTACTTTGATGTCTTAATTCTGACACGTACGGGACACAGGCTGTGTTAAGTAAATGTCACAGGATGCCGCAGCCAATCTCGGGCAAGAGGTTGACCCTGAGCATCCCAACCAGAGCTGTGGCTAAAAGATGAGCGAACCACATGGGAAGTGAGGGCTCTGTTAGAGACACAGCGTTGTCACCTGTGACGAGGACTTGCTCCATAAAGGAAAGTGCCAGGGGTGCTGGGTGTGCTTGTGGAAGAAGTCAGGGGTCCTTCACCCGGGGTCTAGGACTTCAGGGTGGGGGTACACAAACCATCGTAGAGTAGGCAGAAATCCTTTGTGGTTTACGAAGGGGAGAATGGGTGTTTTGCTGGGTTGAGAGTTCTTAGCTTTTGATAGATTCTTAAAGGAGTCTGTGATCCAGAAAGATGCAGGACAGCGAATGCCATAATAATCTATCCGGATCATTGAGGCACGTCTCGCCCCCTCCCTCTCACGCCCTTTTGATTTCATTTTATGGTGTTCTGCAGTTTGTAAAACACGTCGGTTTTCTTTTTCTTATTTGGTCCTCGCTACCAAGGACGAAGCCCTTGGTACAGGCCTCCCTGCCCAGGCCCCCCACGTGTTTGCCCCCGAAGCCCAGCAGCACGGAGCTGAGGGAGGTCACTCCCCCATTAATACTGGACTCCCGCTAGCTCCCTATTCCTACCTGCTCATGCAGACATCCCAGTTCTTCCGAAAACTCACACCCAAGCGCTTGTGGGTGTTCTCAAGGGGGTGTTTCCTGTGCCCCCGAGTCAGGCCCACGGCCATGGGCCTCTTGCCGCGTGCATGCGCGTGGCTCTCTGCACCCACGGAGGTGCAGCCCCTGCCCGTTCACTCCAGCCACTACTGTCCTCGGACCCCGTAGGCCTGTGGCAGCTCACAGACTCTCTGTCAAGTGGGAAGGCAGACGTCCCCCTGCTCTGCGCGAACCCCAGCTGAGGACTCTTTAGCAGTTGCTGGTTCCCACAGCGTCAGGGAACGGGAGGGAACAACCCTGTGAGCTGAACCCGGGCCTTTCTTCTCCTGCGGTTGCTGGGGTGGCTCCACCAGTGGGGCTTAGGACCACCAACCACTAATATCATAGTGGGGCACAGTGTGAGCTGTGGAGCCGAACTGGGTTCATGGGCTAGTGATCTGCCATGAACCTGGGGCACCTTACTTAACTCTGCGGGCCTCAGTTCCCTCATACGTAAAATGGGGCTGCTAATACCAGAACCTACCCCACGGGGATGAGGAAAGTTTAAGGAACAACTGGTCCAGTAGTAAATGTTCCCTATATTAACACCCTCCCCCCATACATGAAAAGACGTCAAAGTCGTGAAGGCTCCCCCATAGTTACATCAGTCTGGAAGTAGCGCAGATAAGATGTTCATCCGTCAGCCAACAAATATTTATCGAGAGTCCTCATATGCCAAGGTTTGTTCTAGCAGCTGGAGATAGAGTGCTAATGAAGACAGATGTGAGCTTTCGGGGACAGACAGTACAGCCCGTTTTCTGGAAGTACAGTGGGTTCTTCTCCCCATATCAGTAGTTGTCAAGCCTTTTTTTTTTTTTTTTTTTTTAAGATTTTATTTATTTATTGAGAGCGAGCAAGCAGGGGGCAGGGGCAGAAGGAGAGGGCCGGAGAGGCTTAAGCCGACTCCCCGCTGAGCACAGAGCCCGACACAGGGCTCGATTCCATGGCCCTGAGACCATGACCTGAGCTGAAACCAAGAGTCAGATGCTCAACCGACTGAGCCCCCCAGGCGCCCCTTAGCCTTTTTTTTTTTTTTTTTTTTTTAAGCCACATCATTTGTTATGTCCGTGAACTCTGACGCAGTGTATACAGCAGATGAAAATGGAGCTGCTGCTGTGGAAGGGGTGGGCTTGGCCTCCCTCGCACCTGGAGAGCAGCCCTGAGCATGTCTGGAGGAAGCCACTTAACACAGTTCTTACCACACCATGAATCTCCGGGGAGAGCTCCCCTCGATGGCTTTTGGGCTGTGTAGACACAGTTAAATTCCAAAAAGTGATATATGTGTATCTCAGAAGGTCGAACAAGATCTCATTCATATGGATATCATTTAATTTTAATTAGTTCATGAAAGTCATGAGTCACCACTGACTGAAAATCTGAAATTTCTGGAGCCACAGACGTGTAGCCATCGTCATCTGCCATCAAACAATTGCACATCTCGTGATCACCTGCATTCTGCAGGCAATATATATATTTTTTAATTTGGACCACGTCTCCCAAAAATACTTGGTTGGTTTTAATTTTTTCAAAGGTTCACATTTCCCCTTAAATTAAAAAGCAAAACAAAGCAAAGAAACAAACAAAAAAACTCAGTCTACTCAGTCCAAAAGCAAAAAAAAAAAAAAAAAAAATTTTTTTTTAAGTGTTTCTGATGCTTACACAACAGGGGTTACTCCCTCTATCGCTCAAGGATCTACTTTCATTGGTTTATTATATCACTTTATTTCTCAGTGGATATCTAGTTTGGAGGCTGTCACAGACCCTCCAGTCATAAATATCTCACCTAAGTTAAAAAATGGAACCTCGAGCTCATGTTCTTGCCTGGTGGCTTCCAAGGAGAGTCACGACATGGCGACCTCATGAGACCTGACCGTTTGATGACAAGTCCTTCGCAGCTCTGAGTTGCCAAGGGGGGCTTGAGGGCTTTCCATAGATAACACCAGCATTTATCCAGCACCTAATGTGTTCTGACCCCAGCGTTTGACACAGGGTATCACATTTAATCCAGATAACACTACTGTGAAGATATATTGCTCATATGAGTAAATAAGTATTGGACAGGTTAAGTAACTCAACTTGAAGCCTGGATTCAAATCCAAGTTATCCTGGCTGTAGTTCTTGTACTTACTCTGCTAGGTAGACTTTCATGTCCTCTAAACATCTGGGATTCTAGAACGTTCTAGAGCCTTTACATATAGTTTGCTATTACACCTAGCAGAGCCTGGTTTGGAACCATTGGACAGTAGTTATAACATGACATATTTGTGTAAGAGACCACTTTTTGCTGCAGCTGGAGGTGCTGCTGACATGTGTTATAATTATTTCAAAACAGATAATATCTGAGTAATGCTTCTGGATTGCACTGAACATCATTCAGTACAAATTCTGGTCTCAGAAGCCTTTTGCTGTTATATATTCTTCAGAGCAGTAGCAAAGAGCACAGTATATTTATACGTTATATGCGTGACATTTTGTAATAGGAATCTGTTCCTTGACATTGTTGCTTTAAGATTATTTTGGTGGAAAGCTGAAAACATGTTTCTTAATTGTGTTTGTATTTTTCTAGGCATGGTCCTTCCTGGTATGTACTTCAACTTTCCAAGTAGTTGAATTATTATAATTAGATAGTTAAATTAATTAGAAATGGTTAAGAACATAATTAAAAAAATCCAAATGATCCAGTTGGAATTAACAGTTCATGATCCAATCAGTTATAATAGAATAATAATGCTACATTCTTCTGTTGATCAGAGTCCAAATAACGGGAAATTTCTGGATCAGATGCAGCTGTTGTTTATAATGTCCTATTTGGCTGACAAAAGTAAACTTGTTTCTAAATTATTGTTGTACATTTTGTCCCCGAGATTTAAAAAAAATTATGATCCTTTCCGCTAATTACTTCTACTGGTCCTCATTTAATTCACAAATCTAGGATTTTTTTCTACTGCATTTATAAAACATTTTTAATCAAGGGATAAATCAATTTTAGATGCAATTTGAATGGATGCACCTGGTTGGATTGTGCATGATTATATTTTGTGGTGTGATTATGCATGAATTTAATTTCAAGCTATAGTGATTGATAGTTATAGAACTGAGAATAAATAACGTTGCTATGACTGTAATGGAAAGGTAAAATTGTGAAGGTATCATTTATCTTTGGTGTTGTTTCCATCATTGTTGTTTCCCTTTAAAAAGCCTAGTTAAGCTCAAAGCCATGATGAGATACCACCCTACACCAGTCAGAATGGCTAAAATCAACAACACAAGAAACGACAGGTGTTGGCGAGGGTGTAGAGAAAGGGGAACCCTCGTGCACTGTTGGTGGGAATGCAAGCTGGTGCAACCACTTTGGAAAACAGTATGGAGGTGCCTTAAAAAGTTAAAAATAGAGCTACCCTATGACCTAGCAATTGCACTATTAGGTATTTACCCAAAGAATACAAAAGTACGGATTCAAAGGGGCACATGCACCCCGATGTTTCAAGCGGCATTATCTGCAATAGCCAAACTATGGAAGCAGCCCAAGTGTCCACTGACTGAGGAATGGCTAAAGAAGATGTGGTGTATACCACATCATATATTATGGAATATTAGCCATAAAAAAGAATGAGATCTTGCCATTTGCAATGACATGCATGGATCTAGAGAGTATAACCCTAATTGAAAGAAGTCAGACAAAGAAAGACAAATACCATGGGATTTCACTCAAATGTGGAATTTAAGAAACAAAACAAATGAACACGGGGGAAAAAAAAGAGAGAGGCAAACCATAAGAGACTCTTAACGATAGAGAACAAACTGGGGGTTGCTGGAGGGAGGTGGGTGGGGGATGGGCTGGGTGGGGGTGGGCATTAAGGGGGGCACTTGCTATGATGGATACGGGGTGTTGTATATAAGTGATGAATCACTGAATTCTAGTCCTGCAACTAAAAAAAAAAAAGCCTAGTTAAGCAATAAAATGTGATTTCATTTTTGCTTCGGAACAGTCCTATGCAAAAGTTGTGTGTTGGACCAACCGTGGACTCAGCACACAAGGCTTTTCTGCAAAGTGAGGCAGCCCGCTGTAAGGCAGATTTCCCCAGAGCTGCGGCACACAGTGGGAAAGGCTGAAAGCCCGAGTCGGGGCTGAAAGCCATGGAGGATGCCTCAGCTGAACGTGACACTGTCAGATGAGTTCCCGCAGCGGAAGAGTTGAGGGAGGTGGTAGGCCAAGCTGCTCGTCCTGTGTGGAGTTGTAGCTCCGGGTAGATGCAGTCAGTTGGCATCATTACTCAGTGGAACTCCTCTGCCTCCCCCCCCCACCCCCCCCCCCCCCAGATTGGCTCTCTTGACCACCCATCAGGAAGGGCTGTTTCCCCAGGGCAGGGTTTCCCTCAAGGCCAAGAGGAACATGGGTGCGAGGCTACCTCGGGCAGGAACCTAGTAGACCAAAGGAGGCAACTGCCACAGGAAAATGGTGTTGGCTTTGCATTTTGGTTTTACTTGATTTTGGTCAGGTCACTGTGAGCAGTGTGGTCAGTAACCCACAGAACACATGGTTTTCTAGTCAGATCATCAGCACCCTTGAAGGCGTTCCACTTGGCTAGCCTCTCTCCCCTTTCCTCAGCTAGACTTCGGGGTGGGTTTCATGATCTTTGATGACACACCTCCCGTGATAAAGGGCTGTACGGTACGCCCCCACCCCCAGCAACCCAGGAAGTGTGGATTATTCGTTACCCCATCTCTCAAGTCGGGAAACTGAGCCCAGAGAAGGTGAACTGAGCCCCCAGAATGCCTGAGCTTTTGAAACAAAGAAGTCACTTGAATGTCAAAACCCATGACTTCCTGTGCAGATACCTTACTTGTGGTTTGCAAGGGCTCCCCGGGGCACTGGGGGGGTGGGTGGGGATCACAGGATTTTGACAGGATTTCTCTGTCCCCTGCAGTTGCTATCTCTATCCTGTGACATTCTTTACACTCGAGTAACTTCTGGAGAGTATGTAGAAGGTGCAAAGTGATGTGCCCGGAGACGGGTTTCATAGCTGACTCAGATCTCAGATCTTTAACCCCATGAGAGGCATTCCAAATATTGGATTTTGAAGTTTAGGTTTGAAAGACTTCATTAACCTGTGGGACATTTCCTCCCATTTGTTTCCTGTGGAGTTGAATGTTTTCCTTATTCACGTGCTCTCGTTCCTTTCTGAGTCTTGAACTTGGGAATCCCCCCAGATCTCCCTAATCTTGTTCAGTGTTGTACGCTGACGGCGTGCCCCGTTTTCTCATGTATGACTAAAGCAGAGAAACGGACATAGTTGGTGGACGTCAGGTGCCGCCGCAGAAGGGGGGACACAGCTGGCTCATTTCTTTTACAGTATCTGGCCTCATTAAGAAATTGGATGTTTCCAGAAAGCCCAGTTGTAATCTTTGAAGCCCCAAACTGAAAAACAACTACATCTTTTAACCATTTTCCCTAGAAAACATTTTAAAAAGTCCTTCTAAGAAACCCCAAATAACTTCATATTCACTTTTAAAAATGTGTTAAAGACAAGCTTTACAAAGTGACATCACTGTCACTAGTTATTGCCAGTTATCGAGCCCAGCTCTAACATAATGGTGCCCTTGAGGGGTTGTTGGCCCCACACAGGAGGAGCCCCCCCATGACTCTACTTTTGATTTATTAGTCAGGGTTCTCCAGACAAACAGGGTAGGGTGGACAGATAGAGAGGGAGAGATTGATTTTAGGGAATTGGCTCACACAGTTGCAGAGCCTTGGCAAGTCCGAGATCCGCAGGGTAGACTGGCAGGCCAGAGACCCAGGGAAGACTTGTAGCTCAAGTTCTAAGTCTGTGGGCGGAGCTCCCTCTTCCTCCTGGAAAGTCGGTCTTCTGTTGAGTCCTTCGACTGAGTCTGTGAGGCCTATCGCCTTATGGAAGACACTCTGCTCTACCCCAAGTCTACTGTTTCAGATGTTCATCTCATCTTAAAAATACCTTCAGAGAAACCTCTAGAACAACGTTTGACTGAATATCTGGGCACTGCGGCCTAGCCAAGTAGACACATAAAATGAGCCCTCACAGTTTCTAGGTCAGCTTTTAAGTAATTCTCTTGCCTCTTCCTTTGAGGTCAAGCGGGTCCTAGGCATGTGTTGTAGCTGAAGATGGGATGAGAAAATCTCTGAACAGCACATCCCATACCCTCCAGTTTGTTGTGTTGTATCCTGAGAAACCAGAATGGCAGTTTACTTAAATTCCTTTTAAAGTAAGACACTTAGCCTAAGGGGGAGAGGAGCTCACTCCCCACAGTAAGTGCGTGAGCTCTAGTAAATCCACTTTCTATGGTTTTACCTCGTCTGTGTTTTTTGACTGATGGTTCTCAATTGCAATTGAGCTCGCAAGGGCTGTGATCCCAGAGAAGTCTTTTCAATACCATTTAAAGGTGATGCCATGCCTGGACCACAGGAAACAGACAACATCAGGAGGACTCCTTCTTTGGGGCCCTACTCCTTAGTGTTACTTGTCTGATTTTTTTTTTTTTTTCTTTTTCAATTCAGTGTGTCGGTACCACAGTTAGAGCCTAAAGAGATAATCTAAGAGACTGGCCAATGTTGTTACAAGGTTCGTTTCCAAGAAAGACTAGAGGCTTTTGTTTGGCCAACCTTCATTGTGTGTAATCGGGTTTTTAAAGATTTTAAACTCTCTGGTATGTTGAGGTCAGGACCAAGCTTTCAAAAGGGAACTCAGAAGGGAGATGCCCCCTTCTCATCCCCCAGATTAGATCACTCACTGAAGCCACCTCCGTGATTTGAAACTCGGCCCACTTTTCACAAATGCCCCATCTCTTGCATTGAGAAGCCTCTCGAGGACTTATTGTAGACTCTCAGGAAATTGGTGCCGCCAACACAACCGTGTAGGATTTAGGCCTTCGTTGGCTTTGCAGGAAATGTTTGGAATGGACGTTGTGCACATTTGAGTCATGCTTCAAGGAGGGCACACCTTGCATCCCATGCTCACTCATCACGTGGTTCCTTCTCTAGACGGAGTAATCAACATGAGCATCCCCATCGTACTGCCCGTCTCTGCGGATGATAAGGCGCGGCTGGAGGGGAGCAGTGAGTTTGTCCTGACACATGGCGGACGGAGAGTGGCTATCTTACGAGACCCTGAATTCTACGAACATAGAAAGGAGGAACGTTGTTCCCGCGTGTGGGGGACAATGTGTGCAAAACACCCCCATATCAAAGTAAGTGGAAGGGCTTTCTTGATCTCTTTCACTTTAGGACAAAAATCATTCCTTTTTATTCCTTCATGAAGGACTTAAAAGAAACACCAGGGTCAGATGGAGGAATGCATTTCTTTTTTTAAAATCAATTTATTAGAGAGAGAGAGAGAGAGAGAGAGCGAGCGAGAGAGAGCATGAGCAGGGGGAGGGGCAGAGGGAAAAGGAGAGAAACTCAAGCGGACTCTGTGCTGAGCGTGGAGCCCGACGAGCAGCTTGATTCCACGACCCTGAGATCATGACCTGGCTGAAGTCAAGAGTCAGACCCTTCACCAACTGAGCCCCCCAGGCACCCCCTGAGGAATGCAGTTCTAGGGCAGGTCTTGCAGGCTCTGCCTTCAGAGATCTTTAGATAGGGGCAGAGAAGTGTCTTTTCTGTTTGGGAGCTGCTCTGAATGAGTCACCGAGTCCTCAGATGCTGTGATGGCTGGCTCCCTCCGCTAAATGGGAAACAACCGGACTGGGGCGATAGTTGAGTCTGGCATCTTGAGTAAAGGACAGAAATCAGAGCCATAGCTAGAGCTTGTGGCACTCTCCATCTTGGAAATTCACTGGGGAAGCACGCATTCCTTCATCCAGCGTGGGTCCAACCTACCACTGGAGAGAGACTCAGAGTGCATGCCTCGTGGTCAGTGACATCCTTTTAGTAAACAAAAATCAGTGCAGAGCACAGACGGTGGCAGAGTCTCCAGAGAAAAAGAGCACATTGTCATCAGTGGGTATTTTAAGATTGAAAAATGCGTTCATCTGATTAGGATTGTTTTGAGTCTATCCTGCCTAAAGGCAAAATAGGCTAAACCTCCTCAGATTCCTTCACAGCTTCTACTTGGTGCGGGTGGGGGTGGAGAGTCTCATGGAATTGCTGGGTGTGGTCCGTTTCCCATAAAGGAAAGTATGTGAGATTGAATGCAAAAGCCATCCCTCGCCCAGCATGAGAACATTAGGGTTGAAAGTTTTAAAAGGCCGTATAAAAGGAGGGGCCAGACTCAAAATAACCCCAGGATCTCTTCCAGCCCTGCGCCCCTACAAAAGATGTTTGAGTGAGCCTACTGGAATTGGTTGGGCAGATGTTGGTTTGGTCTCGTTTGTTTCAGTTGTGACATGTTGCAAGGGAGGAAGGGCTTTTCCAAGGCCTCTGAACACAAGAGGTGAATGAGCAAAGCAGCTTCTCATTTGATGGACACAATCATCCACCTTGTAGCTGAGCATCTTGATCCTGCCTCTGTTTCATCTACTCCCTGGTCCTCATGGTCTCGGGTTGGGTTCTGATCTTCTGTCAGTGACCCGGAGGGGGAAGAGTGACCCTGCATCCCTGTTCCAGAGATGTCCCCTCTTGGGGCCCGTTGTCCACCTCCACTGTGGTAGCCCTAAAAGAAACACCTGAGGAAGCTCTCGAGACTTAATTTCTTTTCATCTTTTCGTCAGTTGGAGCTCAGAATTTTTCATAGAAGCCAGGGAATACGGTGCTGTGACTCGTGGTCTTGGTCATCTGGTCAGTGACCGTCCCAATGAGGTCGTTAGAGGGACTCTGCAAACATTCCCAGTGAGCTAATGGCGAGAAATGGGCCATGGATAACCTGACAGAGGAAGGCACTCAGCGTACACACCACACCCAGAGCGTGACGCGCGTCCACTGGACGCACCGTACACACTACACACCGTTTACAGGGCAGGGACTTTTCACTGCCCCTTTTTTTAGCACCTTGAAATTTACAGTGAAATTTACACTTAAAGGTGTTCTTCCCCCGCCGCCCCCCCCCCAAAGTAACCCCTTCCAAAAGTGGCCGTGGGCCTTGTTGCATTTCCAGTGGCCCTGGGAGTACTTGGCTGGGTCAGTTCTGGGGGTTGGCGCTGAGCGCTCCCTGTGAGTCTGTGAAGGTTGGGATCCTGGCGTTAGAGAAGTATTCAGGGCTCTTTCCGGGCTGGCTCCAGCTGCAAGCGCCTCACCCCATCTGGCTGCGGCCGAATCCTGGGCGTCTTCCTCCTCCCCTGTTCGCTGGGCCGCCGAGTCCTGGCGATTCCGCCCTGCGCCCCGCACCCCCCCCCCCCCCCCGCCCCGTGTCCTGCCTGACTCCGGGCCAGCCTCGTCCGTCTCGCCCAACCCTTCCCCGGCTGGTCATGCTCCGTAGTGGGCCAGCGTGTTGTCCTCTCCTGCTCCTGCACGTGCTGGTCCCTCAACCCAGACACTGTTCCTCCCGCCCCTGCCACTTCCCCGGGCTGCCACCCTGTACCTCCTTTCTCTCCGTGACCTGTAAGCGTGACAGGGGGTGCCTTCTTTATGCTCCCAGAGCACTTTGCCCTTGTGCGGCCCCAGCTCCTCCAGGTTTGTCGCCTGTTCAGCCTTCTGCCCGCTCGGGAGAGGAGGGGCCGTGCCGCTGGGTGGGGCCTGAGCTGCAGGCCGAGCTCCGGGGAGGCAGCAGGTGCAGTGGGAGGAGCAGCCTGGCTTGGGGGTCCTGGGCGTGGCGTCTTGGCATCTGGCAGAGCCTGTGCGCCCTTGAGCGCTGACGCTTCTCTCGTCTGCAAACGAGGCGTGAAGCCCTGTCCTCTGCACCTTCCTTGTCGCCCCAGAACCTCCAGACCAGGAGGCACAGCACAGACATGAAGGGATGTTCTCCACGGGGACCGCCTCAGTTTTCTGCCTCTTGATCCTCATCTCTGAACCCTTTCGTTGTGACCCTGCTTGCCCCGAACCGGCCGTTTCTCACTTCCTCCCGGTTTCCTGCCCACTCCCCGTCCCCTTCCCATTGCGACCCGTGTGCCTCCCCACACTCAGCAGCGGCTCGCGCTCCAGCCCGTGCACCCCGCCTCCTCCCCAGGCTGTGTCTGTGGGGCTCCTCAGCGCAGCCGCCCCGTCTTCGTGCTGGAGTCTGAGCTCCCCCCTCCTCCTCCCTGTGATTCCAAGCGCGGTTGCCCTCTCACACTTCCTTCCACTCGCCGGAAGCCCGTCCCCCATTTCTGTCTGTGCGCCCAGGCCCGCAGACTCTCTCCAGCGGTGCCCCCCTGGCTGCCTTTTAGCAGGAGGCCCAGAAGGAGCTGGGGACCCTTAGGCCAACAAAACCTGAGAAATGGGGCAGAGCCACGGAAGCTGCCTTCCTCGTAGTAGCGAGAGCTCCGTTCTGGGGAGAGTTGGGCCATCTTGGGGAGAGAAATGCCCTTTGCCTCTCCCCATTTCAGAGATGCCAGAAGCAAATAGTTCAGCGTTGTTCATCAGATAGGCACATTTTTTAGGCTGAGTTGTGAACCAAACTGGACAGACGGCGCCTTCACCAACAGAACAATATAGCGTGGACCCCTAGCGTCCAGCCTGAGTTACTGCACTCCTAGGGATTTGGGCTGTCTCCACAGTTTATCCGTCGCCCACCTCTGGGCCAGGAGGAGAAAGCAAATGCACAGGTACGGGGATTTGACAGTATTCTTATTAAGTGATTTTCCTCCCTCCATCCCACACGGCCGTGTTTTTCCTTTCCGTTGCTGTGACGACCCCTCCCGCCGGGCTCACCCTTCACGTTTGTGGGGCCCAAGGCAAATGAAAGCCCACATTCCATATTTAAAAGTTACCTATCGAACTAACAAACCGTTAGATAAAATGTGTTCTGCCCTCCTACGTTAAGAATACCCTAGAAGGTCAGGTTCAAATTTAAATTCCGCACCAGAACATGGTGTTGTGTGACGAGTTGGCTCTCGACCTGCCACGAACCCTCTTTCCTTCTCTCTGCTTGGCCTTGTCCTGTACCAGGAGGGCGCCCCAGGCCGGATCGCTGGGCTCCGTCCTCACGCCCCCGCAGACTCCCCTGCCCCGGCCCCTCCCCAGACATAGGGCTGCCTCCCCGGCTGTGTGGTCCACCCGGAAAGACAGGCTGCGAGAGGAAGCGTGCGGTTCCTTGTCACGGTGTGCATTTTCTGTTCCTCACTGTCCCCCGAAGTCACTTCAGCAGAGACTGGGTCTTGACGAGTGAGGGTGTTAACGGTAACCTCTGCGCTTTCTTTGAAGAATCTTACAGTTTTAGATTGTACATTTAGGTCTTTAATCCATTCTGAGTGAATTTTTTTACAGGGTATAAAATAAGGCTCTTTCTCTTTGAATGTGGGTACCCAGTTTTCTCAACACCGTTTGCCAGAGAGACTGTTCGTTCCCCATCGAGTGGTCCTGGCGCCCTTGTCAAAGATGATTTGAGAAAAATAAGGTTTTAGCTACTTGAGTCTGTGCTTAGCCTTGGATGTGGATTTGGCAACATATTGCTGCTCTTTGGACATTTTCTTTTGTTTTCAAATTAGAGGTAACAAAGAAGGATGTTTCTTTTCAGAGTTTCCTTAGAAACTGTGCTCAGCAATAATGAACCGGTAGAAAACAACTTGCCTGATTTCCCCCGGCTTCTCTATTTTGGGTCCTTACTGAAGACAGTCTAAGACACATCAGGCTGTATGAGGGATGTGCTGGCGGTGGTTCGCAGGACACTGGGGGTCCCCGAGGCCTTTCCACAGAACGCCAGTCTCAAAACTCCTTCGTAATGCTGAGACATCCTGTGCTGTCTTCACTGGGCTGACTCTTGTACTGCCCGTGCCAGAGCAACGTGGGCGAAACTCCTGGCCCCTTGGACTCAAGACGCCTGGCTCAACTTGGGTCGTCCCCTCGACCCCAAGCACTTGCAGTAAAAACAGGGCCGGCTTCAGTTAAGAATGTTCTTGATGATGGGGAGCTTGGGTGGCTCAGTTGAGCGTCCAACTCTTGATTTTGGCTCAGGTCATGATCTCAGGGTCGTGGGATCGAGCCCCGAGCCGGACTCCCCGCTCAGCGCTGGGCGTGTGGAGTCTGTTTGAGATTCTTTCTCTCCCTCTGCCCCTCCCTCCCCTGCTCACTCTCTCTCTCTCTCTCTCTCTCTCTCTCTCTCTCTCTCTCTCAAAAAAAAAAAAGTATAAAAGGGTTGAGACCAAAAAGTTTGAGAAATACTGTGTTAGAAATGCTTAAGAATGGAAGGCGGTTCTTCAGGCTTAACCCAAGGTTGGTGTAGGAGAAAATGGTTTTCAGATACACTAGAAGTCGACACTCATCTCCAAGAACTTTACTCATGGTCTTTCTAGATGGTGATGGAAAGTGGGGATTGGCTGGTGGGTGGAGACCTGCAGGTGCTGGAGAGGATACGGTGGAATGACGGGCTGGACCAGTACCGGCTGACGCCTCTGGAGCTCAAGCAGAAGTGTAAAGAAATGAACGCCGGTACGTAGACTGCCTTGTGTGCCTTTGCCAGTCCTCCCCACCGTCTGATTATAGAATTCGAGATACCAGGAATCTGCCATCTTTATAGTTTCAAAAAGCTGGAAGCCTCTATGGATGTGTGTACTGCTACGGACTGGAGCAGTTTAGAGCTGAAGTACATCCACATATTGGAATAGGGTGCGGCAGTTAAAAATAGGCACGGACACCGAAAAATACCCAAAGTGTATTTCTTCAGCAAAAGCACACATTGCAGAACAATCTCTACAGCGTAATTTTGGAAAACAAAATACAGTAATTGTTCTTAACACCCTAAGTTACTTCTGTGTCTAGAGGCAGAAGTCTCTGGGGCGTGCGCCCCAAACCGCAGGTGACAGGGGCCTCTTGGGGAGGGAGTTAGACCAAGGGGCGGGAAGATTTTCACTTTTATAAATTTCGAAAAAGAGAGAGAAAAAGTAATGGTGGGATTATAGGTGGTTTTTATATCCTGTCTGGGGCTTTTCTGGATTCCCCACAATTTCCATGATGGATATTTATTTCCTTCATAACTAGAAGGAAATGAAGCCTCTCAGGAGCCCGTCACTAAGTGGAGTAGTTTTGAAGATTTTTTTACAGTGAAGGTGAAATAATGTTTTTACGTCTTTAGGTTGTTAAAACTTTCCCCAGGCCCCAGATGGTGCTGGTCGTTGCTCACCCCCTTGGGGAGCGAGCCTGAAGCAGAGGGTGACATGGGGACTGAGTGGTGCTTGGTGGCAAAGGCCCTGGTAACAGATGCCTTCATTTCCGAGGCAGGCTCTCCGATTAGGGCTTCCTGCCTGGGTGTCCTGTCCGGTCTGGTGGGTGACTCTGGAGTAACCAAGTAACCCGCAAGGACCCAGGTGGACTCCCCAGATGACTTTCGAAAGCAAGTGGGCATAGTGAGTGCCCTGAACAGCAAACATAGCTGTTTCCTTTCTTTCAAGATTTTTAAAAAATTTTTAAGTCATCTCTATACCCATTATGGGGCCCGAACTCCCAACCCCGAGATGAAGAGTCCCATGATCTGCCGACTGAGCCAGCCAGGCGCCCCTTCCTTTCTTTTAAAATTCACGATCTAATTGGCTTTATTAAACAATTCGAGCAAGCAGAGGGGAGCTCCCCCTGCCTTTCCTTTTTTGTTCTTGCGGGCGAGCGACAACGTGCATTTTGTTCAGCTTGGCCTTTGTATGCTCCTGTCCCAGATGCGGTGTTCGCGTTCCAGCTGCGCAACCCCGTCCACAACGGCCACGCTCTGCTGATGCAGGACACCCGCCGCAGGCTGCTGGCGCGGGGCTACAAGCAGCCCGTGCTCCTGCTGCACCCTCTGGGGGGCTGGACCAAGGACGACGACGTGCCCCTGGCGTGGCGGATGAAGCAGCACGCGGCGGTGCTGGAAGAAGGGGTCCTGGACCCCAAGTCAACCATCGTTGCCATCTTCCCCTCCCCGATGCTGTACGCTGGCCCCACAGAGGTGAGCGGTTCCCTGCGCCGGGCTGGGGGCCTCGGAAATGGGGGCTCAGGCTTTACTTAAGAGGAGCCAGGGAGTCTCTGCGCTCCTTTTCTCTCATGAGCAGATTCTGGAAGCTTCCAGTCTCTCTTCTTTATCCAGCTTCATTCTGTTTCCATTTCGTATTCGTAAGAACGCCAGAAACACCGCCTCAGACCCGTCACGCACTGCCTTTGGGAACGTGGAGCTGACGTGTGAGCAAGGAGGGTAATGCGGCTTGACTGAGGCTGTAGGGCAGACCGTGTTGCGCCTCACACTCAGGTCCCGAAGTTTCGGTCACTCTGCCTGGTTCACCACACACGCCCGTGAGCGCCCTTGGAAGGGAGCATTCGTCTCTAAAAGCTCGGTGTCCCCCCCTTTTGTCATAGCACAACGAGCCCGCCAAACGGATGCTCTCCGTCCCGTGGCTCCAAGTGTGTGGGAAGCGTGATCAGTTGGAAGGGTCCCAGCGCTTTGGGGGTACCCCAAACAGTGTTTCGGAAATGAATTCTCTTCAAGCAGACCGCAGCGCCAGGCCCCCTCATCCTCTGTGTTTCTCGCTGAGCTTCAGACGGGGTCATTCATTTTGAAATGCCAGTGTCGTGTTGAACTAGAATCAGTGTCTTCGTATAATCCGCTCATTATTGGCAGTCGGGTAATCAGACATGTTGGAATTTGTAATTTCCTTGAAACTGTGATCTATTCCGAATAGGGAGGGACTAGAAAGTAAAATTCACATGTCTGAGTGCTTCTGGTCCATGTGCCTGTCTGGAGGGGTGACTAGGAGACAGAACCTCGGGTTCTAGGAAGCTGGGGTGAGGTGGGGGGAGTTCGTGTCTAGAGCTCCTACTGCCCTCCGTGGTGGAGCGAGCGTGAAGAGCACGGGGTCTCGGACACTCCACTGACGTCCTCCAGCTATCGGTCGATCCTGGATTACTTTTAAAGCAGAACAGAGGCGTCTCTGTAAACGGGGACCCCCGAGCTGGCCAGCGGTGACCCGCATCTCCCTTGCGTGATGTTTCCTAGGTCCAGTGGCACTGTCGGTCCCGGATGATTGCAGGGGTCAATTTCTACATCGTGGGCCGGGACCCTGCGGGCATGCCCCACCCTGAGACCAAGAAAGACCTGTACGAACCCACTCACGGAGGCAAGGTCTTGAGCATGGCCCCGGGCCTGACCTCGGTGGAAATCATTCCATTCCGCGTAGCTGCCTACAACAAAGCCAAAAAAGCCATGGACTTCTATGACCCGGCAAGGTAGGTTTCCAGAGGAAGATTCTTTGATCACCGCCTGTACACCGTCTGTGGAGGGGCATCTCCACATGCTCCCGGTGGGATGAGAGGTCCCTAGAAGGCCGAGACCTGGTCTTACATGTTCCGTGCCCCCCCTGAAGTGTAGCACGGCCCCTTGCATGTCAGCGGATGGTCCGTCAGTAGCTCTCTTTCAACAAGTCTTCCTTGAGCAGGTGTTAAGGGACAGGAAGCCAGCGTAGCAGCAGGGGGCATGCCCGCGGACAGAGCAGGCACCCAGGCGGCGTGGAGCGTGTGGCTGCCGTCACGCCCGCCGTCACGCCCGCCGTCACGCCCCCTTCTGCTGCAAGTTCCTTTACTCAGGAGTTAGTGAACTGCCCACTCCCCGCGGCGAAGGAGAAGATAGGGTCTGAGCCTCGTCACCTCAGGCAGGCCTCTCTGGGGGCGGGGTGACGTCCCCGCTCTGAGCTCTGTGTGGCTGCCCCGTGACAGGCACGACGAGTTTGACTTCATCTCGGGGACACGAATGAGAAAGCTGGCCCGGGAAGGAGCGAACCCCCCAGACGGCTTCATGGCGCCCGCAGCGTGGGAAGTCCTGACAGACTATTACCGGTCCCTGGAGAAGAACAACTAAGTGCCCTCCGGCTCCAGAGTTTCTTCTCGAAGTGCTCTTGGGTTCTCTTTCCTATTTTTGTGATTAGATGCTTTGTACATGATTGCTTCTCAGTGACTGATTTCCATGTTTTATAATGGGGTAAAACTTGTGTCTATAATTTAAAGTCAACCTCAATAATATGTAAAAGAAAGTCCGAATGAAGGCCACCTCCTAGCAGGTGCACGCAGTACTGTTATTTCAGAATGAAATTGTGTTCTCTACTGCATCTGACTACGTAGGTCCCGGGTTTGTGAACGCTTTGACTGTGTGTCTTAAGTTTACTGGCCAAGGGGTGAAGTGTATTTTCCAGCTTAAGTCTTGCCCAAGGTCCCCGCAGTAACGGGAACCAGACTGAGCAACCTCTTCTGTACAACTGGCCTGGGGGGGGATTTCTCACCCCCAAACGAGGTGGGGCTCGCGTGAAGCTTCCCGCTGCCTCACCTCCTGCCTCCCGCCCCATCTGCTAAGGGCCCCAAGCCACACCTCGGATCCATGCGACCGAGTTCGGCCGAGAAAGTTTAGGTTATCTAAGAAAGGAGGGCGGCCTTACCGCCCTTGTGTGAAGAGAACCGCAGGTCAACGGTGATTTTTCAGTCGGAGAACACAGGACGCCTTGAGGAACAGACTGGCACCCACGGCTCAGACGATCCGGCATTGTTTGTGGTGGGAAGTTAATTTTTCTCCTCTTTGCTGTGGTCACTGTGTCCTGGGAGAAGCAGCTCGGGCCCAACCAGTGCAGACCATCAGACTAGTGAGCTGCTGGAATGGGGAAAAGACCCCAGAAGGCCTTCTGTCTCCCAGGGGTCCCCACCCCACGATGCCCAGCGCCTGCTTCGGGAGCGCCCGAGCACGGTCACAAACTCTCACAGTTGGCATCGTTAGAAAGTACTGGTGACACCCGACGGGCCTGCCGCCGCTTGACCTGCAGGCTGGGGCTCCGTCTACCCTGTACGACACAGGGGCTGCCTCTGGCCCGCCTCAGTTGCTTAGCAGAAAAGCTCCTTGCACAGAAGGCACTTAGGACGCAGTCTTCTTGGATGCCAGGAAGTCCAGGGTTTTCTAAACCCAGCGGATCTTAGTGCAGCTGGAGAAAATACTCTTCCAAAGACTCATGCTGTGCTGAGACATCTAACCTCTGATGGCTTTACTTCTTGGGAGGTGATCTTTATACCTAATTCCTTGTTGCTAGAGAATATATGAAGAAACCGCACCTTTTGTAGCTAGGTCTCTCTGGAAGAGACTTAAACTGGAAAGAGAAAACTGTGATTTTTTTTTTTTATTTTTTCCAAGAAAATGCTCATCTTAGCTACTGAAAGTTCTTCTGAGAGTAAATTACACACAGTGGCCACAGCAAAGTGTATCTGCCTTGACTAGTATAGTGCCTATGTTGATTTAATCAGAGGTACGCAGTACTGCCTTTTTAAAGAACAGTGTATTTATTGAAAACATGGGATGGAATGTAGTGCCTTAATCAATATATTTTGTGATTTTTAAGATATATTTAAAACTGCTTTTCTGCTCTTAATAATACTTAGTGCAAATGACTATTTCTATGTACAAGTGACGCTTGTTTTTGTTTTAATAAATTTCTCAAAATGGACGCGGAGTCCTTTCTGCCTGTGACCGTGTGTGGGTCGGCCATGGGACTGCCGAGGGCTTTGTGACTGTATAATTGGGAAGAACAGCAACCCTCTGACCACAATGAAGAGGCTGTGTCCGAGTCACTTAACAACCGCACGGTGGGCGTAGATGTGCAGGGCTCCTGATGTGCTCAGGGGGGCGAGGCTGCTTGGGGGCTCACCGTAGGAGGATGTCACCGCGGGAGGGTCTGACCTCTTTCGTCCTTGCTCCCTTTGCTCAAAGTGCCCCCAGGGAGTGCGCCAGCTGGGCTGGGAGCGGGGTTTTGCTGTTGCCTTGTTTTCCATCCGCTCCCACGCCACCGCCAACCTCAGCCCCGGGCTCCTTTGTCTTGAGCTGGGTACCTGTTTCCACCCCTACTTCCTGTGGCCTGCGGGCACCTGGCAGTCTGGGGCTGTGCTCCCCCCCCCCCCCCCCCCCCCCCCCGGCCGCCTTCCTGCGGTCCTGAAGGCTTCCTGCACGCCCTGCCGCTGCTCCTCATCGGGCAAACAGCCCGCTTCTCGCCCAGGGCCTCGCTCGCTCGCTCCTTCCAAGTGACCATTAGCGGGACCAAGCAGGGCAAGACGTGTGAGGACACGACACACACAAGGGGTGCCCAGGGGGGATGCCAGACCCTCAGGGCAGGGAGAACAAAGCCCGGAAAGGCCCCTGGACGTCGCTGGGTCTGACGATGGCAGACCTTGGCAAAAGTACCAGCGCTCAGGCCCCAGGATTTCTCTCCAGCCTGTCTTCCTTGCACGAAGGAACCAATCCTGGTTACTCGAGGTGAACAAGTGATTTTGTTTTCTCTTTATCTTCCATTCTGGGACCCGGCCGTCAGGGCTGGCTTTCCTGACAGGCACTGGGGCTGCTCTTACTTGTGAAGGTCGGAGGGACCAATCGTGCCGCTTTGCCTCGGATTCTGAATGCAGGTCCCCGTTACTTAAGCATTTCCTCATCACCACATGCATCAAGGATCAGGAATGCACTACGCACAGATTTTGAAAACCACTGACTTCGCTTGCCTCTCACATCCATTTAGTTCTTCGATGAATTATTAACTATTATTGGGCCACTCAGTATGTTCATGGAACGGGGAAGATGATACACAAGCAAGTCACTGGTTCTCACTCCAGAATCCGCCTACCTTTTCTCTTATATTGTAAATTATTTTAATGAAAAAAAATTACTGACTTTTATTGATATCACTAAAAATAAATGGGTTACTGGCTAGAGTTTGGAGAATTAGTTAGATACAAGAAAAACCTAGATAGTATACCAGTCACACTTTTCTATGGGGCTAGCAAGGAACGGGGGATGCTGGCGAAGACCCCCCCCCCCAGCTGAGCGGGCACAGCTCTTTTAAAGTCACCATATGTATTTACTATTGCTGGCATCAATAATACACACTGTATTTGGTGAAATTCTTAAATACAGTTTTTCCCCCTAGAAGTTTAAGCCTGCTGTGCACTTCTTTCACAAAATAATGTATGTGATAGTTCTTATAAACTGTAACAGATGATACACACTTTTGTGGAAAGAACAATCTTGTTTTATATCTATTTCATACGCCTGCTTTCCATAAATAGTTCAAAGGTAAAATTCAGCTCCTTGTAGGTTGTGTGGACTGCTTGCATGTAAATAACTCCAATACTGATCTGGTATTTTGAACTAGTTAAAAGACTGGCTTCTGCAAGTGTATTCACCAAGAAGAACCTACATTTATGGGAAGATATTAATCCCATGAACCACTAAAGAGGTCGTATCCCCTGTCCTATCCTCAGATGATAAAAGGAATTCTAGAAAGTACTAGATCTTTGGGTAGGCAAAGCAAACAACAAAGCAAGCTTCTAGCTCCAACAGAGTCAAGGAAATAAACACGTTTAATACACCGGAACATCAGGCCCACGCGGCGTCTCTAACCTATCTGATGGCATTTTGGTAACTGCCCATCAGAACAAGTGCATCCACCAAGGCTGACACCCATCAGCAGCTGAGTACTGCAGTCAGGTCCGTGTCGCTAACGAAGGGCCCTGCGTCTGTCAACACGGCCGCCGTTGCCACAGTGCGCAGCTTAGTGAGCTGGGACGGGCACGTGGAGAGATCTATTTCAGCAGGCCCGTCATGGTGCAGACAGGGAAACGGAGGCCTAGAAATGGGAGACGGGAGAGGACTGCCCTAAGCACACGAGAGCCTGCAGCCAGACTCACTTCCTCACTCCCAAAGTGTTTCCATAGGATTCTTAAAACAATCCCAGAAGGTACCCATTTATGATTTCTATTTACAGATAAGGGAACAGGTGCTCAAGGAAACAAGTTTTGCCCAAGGCTACAATGCCGTATATACATGGCATACATACATACATACATACATATAAAATTCTATTACATATAGACAAGTTTCACAGCTGGGGTTGAAACCTATAAAGTTGGAAATGACCTTCACAGGACTTCTAATTCTGCTAGAATGTAGGAGGATGTGAAAGACCTTTAGTCCCAGAGTAACAGGAGAAAACCGAGGCAAAAATAATGCTTCTCTATAAGGCTGGCAAAGAAGAGTGAATACAAGGATTCTTCACCGACTGCCCTGTGGGGAGAGAGAAGCCTCTTGGGGGTGAGCAGGAGCCTGGGTGCTTGCGTGTACCCCAGGGAGGAGATTCCTTCCTAAGTCTGGATGCAGGGTACGGAAGAGCAGGCCTGCCTCAGTTGGAGATTTGGCAGAGATGTGGAGAATTCAACCAGGACTCAGTACTGACCGAGACCCACAAACATTACCACCTTCAAAAACAAACTGCCAGGCTAGACAGTCCCCCTTACCTGGATCTCACAGAGTAAATGGTCAGAGAGGCTCTGAGTCTCGTGTGTCCTCCTGGTGACTGGCTGCCAGACCCCGTCAGAACTGAGCACACGGAGGGAGCCGCGGACATCTGACCCCTGCACGCCCAGCCCCTCCCAGCTCCAGTCCTGCCGAGTTCCAAAGGCTGCTGCCAGAGAGGTCAGGGGAGGGCTTAGCATACCCTTAGCACGGACATCTGACCCCTGCACACCCAGCCCCTCCCCAACTCGTCTTCTTATGGCCGCAGCCCAGACCTGGCATGACCGGACTCTAGAATGGGGGACAGTCAGGCCTTCGCCACAGCTGCCCGTCAGAGGAAAACGTTTGCCTCCCTTGGAAATAAAACAAAAACCAACATTGTACTTCAGTCTCCAGTGTCCTTTTTATACCCGTTATCTGGACTAAAACACATTACCAACTAGAAGTGATCACTTAAGCTCAAAGTTGGACATGCCAAGCGGCAGTGAAGCATCGGGGGGAAGCAGAGCGTCTGGGATCCCGGGAGGCTGTCCACACAGCCTGCAGCGCCGGCTGCTCCCCACACACCCGCTAGTTAGAACACCACCATCGCTGAGCACATAACCTACGGCTGCCGGCGACCGGCTGGTCATTTGTCACTTTTTGTCCAGCCACCTTCTCCACAATACTCATTTCTTTGGTCGATACACTGCT